TTGATATATGTGTAGACAAAGGTATCAGCTAATGAACCAGGCTAAAGGAATTAAATGAACCATGAGCCTTTCAATAGGATCATGAAAATGTGTTTTGTGTAACTGTGAAATGTGAAAATTCAAAGTTTTTATGAAAATGTGTTTTGTTTTTCAAAATATTTACATGTATTCATATCATAATTTAATTTACAAGTGTCAATTTCGTCAGAAGCATTGAAATCATGCTATGTTAATTTGATACTGTCACGGGTCTATGAAGGAGGACTCAAATGCAGAACGAGTGTTAACAGGTTTATTGACAAACAGTAGACAAGATGTGGTGGGAGAGGTGAACAGTCCAGACAAAAGGCAGGGATGAGACACAAAGACAGCCGTTGCAGCAAAACTTGCAGAGCAGCAGCTGTAGCTAGCACAAGAAGACTGTAGGCTGGAGAGTAGTGTTTGCAGAGCAGAAAGAGACCTGAGAGTACTAGCAATAGCCAGACAGGAACCTCCAAGGACAACAGCAAGGCGCTCAGGGATCTCAGGCTAAGCACCAGGCTTGCACCAAAGCACAGAGTGCAAGCAGCCAGGGACGCTCTGCTAGCAGGACTGGAACTAGAGACTCAGGAGACAAGACAGACAGGACCAATGGCAGAACTAAAGCACTAACAAACTTCTACAAATAAAACACAATAGACTTAGGTAACAAGAAACTAGCTAAGCACAGATTTAAACAGTAGCACAAAATTCAACGAACTGGCAACACATGAGGGAAAGAGCACACACATAAAGGGAGTTAACAAGAGTAACAGGTGAGAACACTTAGACAAGGAACAGGTGAACACACTCACGTAAACGAGGACTGAAACAAGGGAGCAGAGAACATGAGGAACAGGTGACAACACTCAGACAAACGAGGACTCAACTAGACAAGAGGGCGTGGTACAGAGAAACAAGGAGGCAGGAACAGAGGAGCACATGGCCAACACAAACACAACCATATGTTCAAGCACAACACAAACATAGAGACATGAAACAAAGACAACACAGTGTCACGCCCGGCTTTGCCGTGTTGGGTGTGCTCACTCCACCATGGATAGTATTATGTTTGGGCCGTTTCTCTCCTCCCAGTCTGAAGGGGGAGCTGTTTGTTTTAGGTCCATCCGACAACAGCTGATTGGAGGGACTATTTAAAAACATCTCCTGTCGGTTGTTTGGTCTGCTCTGTGCTGCGCGGCTCGGCATTGCTCGGGTCTCCATGCTGGTGGCAGCAGCATCATCCCACTTCTTTTTGCTTTGTATGCATTACACATAGTCTACACTTTACTGATCTGCAACACACTTTTTGATTAGTTTTATTTCGTTTCTCATTTACTGACTTGTTACATTTATTGACTTAAATTATGATTTCATCGTATAATTTAATGTTTAATAAATTATGTTTGCTTTAACTTAACAAACGGTGTGGTCTCCCCTATGTCATTGCTACTGTGAGCCAGGTAGTCGTGACAACAGACAAAGCTGCCAGAGCAAGACCCTGACAGATACATCCAATAACAGTGTAAAATCTTCAATTATGTAATATGGTGTTCAGTAAAGGAGTCATAAAATGTATTCTCTGCTTTTTTTCTGATTTCACACTATTATGAACAATCCAGCTCCTAAATTCCTTGATTCTATTCCCTCCGTTTTTAATAATAAGCATATATAGCATCAGACATTATATGATTTTCAGTTGATGTTTTAATATTTGAACACAATAAATTAAAAAAAGAATAAATATTTCTTTCTGATTTTTATCAGAAGTGTGAAAATCCACAAAATGCATACACTCACACCAAATGATCATTGTGCTACTGAAAAAACCCCCCAGACATTTTCCTTAAAAATAAAAGCAATGTTAGAACTGAAAAAAAAAAAAACAGTTTCACCATTTTTTTCTTTACAACTGCTAAATTTCCCTAAAATACAGATATTCATACAGAAGAGTATTGAGCTGCTGTGTGTCTAAATGACCACACATTACAATATCTGCTTTAACTGGTCTTTAAATACAAATGTTAAATAGAAATATGGCTAAGGAGCCCAGTATCACTATGACTCAGAAGAAGTTTTGCATTTAGTGCCATATATCTTGTGGTTGGCTGGACCTATATTCATGTAAAATTAACCCCATTTTACAACAAAGCAATCAGAAGCGTGTATTGTGAGATTATACTTTTAGACAAGAGTGTCTAAGATGACTTTGCATGATGACTTTGCATGACAATGACCTTAAAAGTAGTCAGACCTATACGGCATTTCACATCTTTGGTTCTCTGCCTGCCTGTCTGTTTCTACTGGCATCTTACAGGTATGGTTTTGGAAACTTTTATTTGAAGCATTTATTGTCATAAATGGGTTTCCTAAACTGGGGGTCACCAAGCTTATGATTTCAGGTGTAGATGCCTCATAAAATGATCTGTGCTATAAACACAAATCTTTCCTAGCATCATCCGTAATGTGATATAACATGGCTCTAATTTTTAACATGTCATATTAACATGCCTCAAGGAACGTGAATTATGCGAGGGACAAGCACTGGTACGATGATAAGGATATTGTTGGTGTTTTGGGCTGCGTTTGCTCTTCATCCGACTCAACAAGTGAGATGATAGCAGACCACACATATACACGCATATCTTTGAATTCTAACATAAATGTGTGCAAGAATTAGCTGTCAAAATAATTTTGTATTCATTATTTTGCCTGAAATAATGCTGTTTTTGTCTGTTTCTCAGTTTGAATTTGGGGATATCCTTTCAGTTGGTACACATGAATGGAAAGCCTTTATACACCCACTGGGCTGTATACGTGGGGCTAGGTCCTGTTAAAGGCCTGGAAGGGAAAAAAGATGACAAAGACATTTTCCATATAACTTGTAAGCATGGGTTTTCAAACTGTGGTCCAGGGACACAGAAGCTCACAAGGATAATCTGTGGATAATCTGAGAGGGAAAGAAAGGTTTAACAAAATGCATTTTTAGGGCAGTCAAAGTGAACTGCGGAATAGTTGTTCTACACATTTAACATTACTGACTTGCTACAATATAACATATTTTCTCAGATAGTATTAATGACTCTCTTTATACATGAAAATATATATTTATATTATATATAATATAGAGCCTATATTATATATATATATAATACGAAAGAGGAAGAAAGAGCCTCACAAGGGGATCATCGTATTTGGGAGTCCTTGGAACCAAAAAGTTTGAAACCCCCTTAAAAAGAGTGTATGATTACATTTAGATAATTACAATCAATGCAAAACTATGTGTCAAATTCATTGGACATTAATGTACTAACAAATTGAAATATTTCTTAACCATCTGTTCTACCTCAATAGGTCCTGTAACGATCAAGATGTCTAATTGTGTATTTGGTCGAATGGGAAAGAAAAAATATACTGTGTCCAACTACCTTGTCCTTGACACAGACAAAAATGGGAATAGACTTCCGATCAAAACTAGAGATGAAATGATACAGACCATTAAAGGATTAGTTCACTTTAAAAAAAAACTTTTGCTGATAATTTACTCACCCCCATGTCATCCAAGATGTCCATGTCTTTCTTTCTTCAGTCGAAAAGAAATTAAGGTTTTTGATGAAAACATTCCAGGATTTTTCTCCACATTTTCTGGCTACCAAACGGTTCAAGGTCCAAATGACAGTTTCAGTGCAAACTGCAAACTGTTCAAATGGTTTTAAATGACACCAGACGATGAATAAGGGTCTTATCAAGCGAAAAGATCGCTCATTTAAAAAAAAAAAAAAAAAAGTTTAAGCTCACATGCTCGCCTCGCTCTGTTCTGTGTAACTCTCCTGTTCGAACTCGTTCATCAAAATGAACAATTCTTTTTCCGAGTCAATTCGTTCATTTCGGTCGTTAAATGAACGAGTTCGAACAGGAGAGTTACACAGAACAGAGGGACGCGAGCATGTGAGCTTATAAAACTCTAACTTTGTTATTTATTTTTTAAATGACCGATCGTTTCGCTTGATAAGACCCTTATTCATCGTCTGGAATCGTTTAAAGCCCTTTGAACAGTTTGCACTGAAACTGTCTTTTGGACCTTGAACCGTTTGGTAGCCAGTAAAGTGCATTATATGGAGTAAAATCCTGGAATGTTTTCATAAAAAACATTAATTTCTTTTCGACTGAAGAAAGAAAGACATGGACATCTTGGATGACATGGGGGTGAGTAAATTATCAGCAAAAGTTTTTTTAAAAGTGAACTACTCCTTTAATGACTTACATCATAAATGTGGGTATAAGTGGCATCCTACAAAGAATAACTGAGCATATAGCCACTTTTATTCGCTACGGATTTAAACACAGTGAACAGGTAATGAATATTCGGTCAATTAGAATATGTTTGTTATTTGTAATGTGTAACTGTAATGCAGTGCTTGCTTTAGCTGGTGTGAAAGTGATGTTTTAAGTTGCATTTTTGTACAGGGTTGATGTTACTGTGATATGTTGTGAGAGATCAGTTAATATATTTAAATAAAAGCATCTCCTCTAACTGACCATTGAGAAAAAAAACTGTCTTTGGTTTCTTCCCTTGACAGAGAGATACCTGGGTGGGACCGAGATTAAGTGACTATATTAAAAATGATCCAGATAACAGGGCAGGCAAGCGCTCTCTCATGGACCTGTTGGACCGTGACTCAAGTCTGGCTGCTGCCGGGGCATGAGACTGTTCTCGTCCTCTGTGTCTTTATCCTCACTGAAAGTGGGATATACATCTACATAATAAACTATAAGCATGCATCACGTCTGCTGTCTGTCATATTATTCCAACTGACTGATTCCAAAGAACAAAAATGTGCAAAATGCACATTTATCAAGCTAAATATGTTGCAATATATTAAAAGGCCCCTAAATAAATGTCACCTCATATTGACATTTTACTAAACAAGCAAGTAGCCATTTTGTTTTGACAATAACAATCCAAGCAAACACAAACACAGTGAAATTCATATCAATCTTTATTTGTACTTAGAAATTTTGCGCAACAAATCTTTTTTTGTGTTTTTGTTGTCCTTTTTCCTTAAATGATTTACCCCAGGGCAGATTAAAAGTCGATCTGAATCTCTCATGCCATTATTCCTGCAGGAGCGGCTGAAACGGACCTCTTACATAAAGTGCTTCTGTCAACGATCCATTTCTTTTTTTGTTTTTGCAATAGAAAAAATGAAAAGACGGTGGAGGACAAAAAAATTTCCATGGCTCACAAGTAGAGTGAAGAGGAAGGGGAATTCCTTTTTTTTGTTTTAAAAAGAAAACCGACAGAAAGAGCGACGATAGTTCAGTTTCAGGCCGGTTCAGCCCAGGATCAGGCTGGATTTGCCCCCGGGGGGGTTCCTCCGGCCGGACGGGTTGGCAGCAGACGGGGCAGAAGGCTGGCTGGACTCCTCTTTCTGCTCCGGCACCATCTCGTCTGGAGAACACACACAGATGGACAACGGTTAGGATGAGTGTAGCTCTACTACTCCCTCTGCTGTTTGTGACAGGGTTTCACAGCTCACCACACGCAGGCTTAAACTCAAACTATAATCTCTGTCTGAAAAGTCATGTCGCTTCGTAAAATATGCAACACGGACGGGTTTGTGTGACCTTCCCTCGTCCCCCCTTTAATAAAACTACACAAATGATGCAGATGACATGAAATACAGGTTATGGGGAACATGGTTTATGAATTATGGGCAGCATAAAACATTTTAAAGCATGTGTCCTATTCAGTTTAATAATTTTGCATATCAATGGGTTTTGGGAATTTTTGGTTAACTATTTTGTTTAATAATTTTGGATATCAATGGGTTTGGTTAACCAGAGTAAAAAAAAAAAGATACTAATAATATTTTATATATATATATATATATATATATATATATATATATATATATATATATATATATATATATATATATAAAAATCAAATCCAGCCAGCGGCAGATTTTTGTATCATTTTCACAAAATTTGAATGGTTCCCAAAATCTGAACTTGTAGTCTGTCAAAAGGAACAGACCCTCTGATTTTATTTTATTTTTAAATTCATTTCATTCTAGCTTCATGCATTCCCAACACTTGAATGTGGGTATAAGTTTCATTAAAAAAAGCAACATCGACAAAAAACACAATTTTCTCAGCTTTTAGCTCAAAGACTACATCTGTATCAGATTCAGAACAATTATCAAAAATAATCGGCTCAGAGGACTATGTTTGTCCTGAGCATTTTGATTTGTAAACGAGGCACAGTGTAATGAAGAGTTCGCAAAGAAACTTTTGTTGACAGATGTGGATTGGATCTTACAGCAGCATCACAAACCACAAGTAAATGATTTCATAATACGCTTTCCATTTAAAACTGTCATGTATGGACAATGTCTTCAAAACACTTACTCGTTCAAAAGCGAGTGGGTGTTGTTGATACCGTTTCTTATGCAATGACTTTAGCCAATCATAACAGAGAACATTTACTGACAAGCCTTAAAGGAGCCGCGCCTTAAAAACAGATCATCACAGAGGCTCAGAATGAGGGTTGAAAATAATAGTTTTTCCATATATTTGTGTGTGTGAGAATGTAAAACAATAATAATAATAATAATAATAATAATAACAACAACAACAACTCTACTAACATTATAAGGGAACCTAAAGGAACCATGAATTTGTTTTTTTTTTAAATCCATGTCATACATTTCGATATGTTTGATTTTGAGTATGCATTTAGTCTTTTGACACCTCAGAACTAAAATAGTTTATAATACAAGTAAAGACTGGGTCCAGAAGCAAAACCAGTTGAGAAGCACTGCTCCAGAAAGACTGTATTTGTATTTTTTATTGATATCCATCTATGGCTGTCAAAGCAAAGCTGGATAAGTAGCATCAATGACTAGATCAACATTCACACACTCACCCACAGCACATCAGGGCCGAGTCTGTAATGGGTTTAAACTTAAAGGTCGCTATATTTGCATTTTTTGGTGATGGAAACGTAACGGCTCGTCATTCAGACAGATCGAACATTTCCAGGAAGTTTATCAAAGTGTTCAGTAAAGTGTGACGATTCATACCATCAGAGGGAAAGCATCCACCGGTAAGGCCTGAAATATACTCTACACAACTATATGACTGCAAATGCATTTATAAATCCATATATTGTGTCCAGAAATGTGTCAGCCCAATTCATACTGCAACAAGTACAAACTGCAATATATTGTGGACATTTGCATAAACTGACAGAAGAGAAGCATGCTGAGCAGGGTAAAGTTTGGTTTTTATACAGCATTATCTAAAGAAAATGGCTCTGAGCAAATGTTTTATCAGAATCCAAACATTAGTCAGAGGAGCTGAAGTCAGATAGCATGCAAACGTGTTAACTGGGCAAAAGCCAAACCCAGCAGACGTGAAGACCCCAGAACAGGATAATATTTACACCACTAATGGCTGGACATGAAGACTAGCAGGACTGGTAAACAAACACTCGTTATATGAACCCAGATCCACCACTGACACGCCATGAATACTGATTCCCTTACAATCACAGGACACACAAACACAGAGACACAAAGCGAGAGCTACAGTGTATGGCCATTAACCCAGCATGAAAAGATGCTAGATTTAAACACATCAAATATATACTGAATTGATATTAATATTTATTGTAGTAGTAGAAAAAAAAAAATATATGATTTTGCCCATTTAAAGGTACCGGTACAATATGCAGGATTTTTGCAGTAAAATATCCAAAAACCACTAGGCCAATGTTATATATTTTGTTTAGTTGATTAATATCCCAAATGTTTCCAACTATTTGTAAATGGTGAGAAAATTGCGATTTTAACCAAGGAAATGGGACGTGTGAGCAGGGGTGGGGAGTCGCCAGTCAATGGCGTCATATCCGCGTTACCCCCGGTTTCCGCCAGGTTTGACCTCGTACTGCAATAGTAACCATGGCGACAGACGTTGACAACTGGGTTATGCCTAGCAGGACGTTCACGCTGCTGTTGTTTTGTTCAAACATTATGGACCATGGCCAGCAGACTTTGAGACAAAAAGAGGACTAAAACGAAGATCAACATCTTTAGAGATGCCGAGAGCTCCACGTCCACGACTAACTTCGACTTAGAGACGCGAGTGTTGCATGTTACTTTATTAGACAGGTGAGCAAATGTACATAAAAGTAATCAATGTTATGTAGTTCAACATGATGAAAAGTTAGAATATGATCTGTATGTTATTCTCTAATGTTAATCTAGCTTAGTCTCATACAGCCAACAAACAACCTAACTAACAACATTCAACACTCAAATGCCATTTAGTGAGATAGTGTAACTGTTAGAGCAAGTGAAACAGCGCTGCGTTACTTCAAGTTTAATTCCTCTAATAAACTGACCTGTGTGAGTATTAATTCAGCACTTGCGTGTAGTTCGGTAGAATGAAATGTCCTTATTCCTTTATATCCGCAGGACTCGCGTTGCGTGTGGCGCTGGTATACGTCTCTCATTAGCAATCGCGCCCTGCTTCATACCACAGTCATGTTAAAAACATCAATGTATTCACTCATCCATAAAAGATCCATCAGCTTGACAAGATCCATAATTACACTTAATGCGCAATATACGTAATTAATATACGCCTTTGTTATTGTAAGAGGTTAGCGACCCCTGGTGGCGAAAAATCCTGCATATTGTACCTTTACAAATTAATACAAATTTGCTGTTGTTTTTAAACTATAAACCAACATTAGTCACTACAGAGTCAGTGTCATTTATATAAAATCTGTGACCTTGCTATTAATGCTAGCATTCTTCATCCATTTCCTAGTTTTAAAATGTAATATTAAAATGTTTAAAGTTTATAAATGTAGTAATTTATATTAGATAATTATTAAATGTTCAAATGGTATTTTTTTATTAAATGTATTTACTTTCAATTTAATTATATTTGTTTAGTTTATTAATATTTTATTTAATCATTAATTAATTTATTTTATATTTTTACTACTACTTAAAATTATTAAATGTATAAACTTTTTGAATTTAATATTTTAACAAATTGTTTTAATCTTTTATTTTTACATTTTTACTAATTATTATTATTTTCTTCATCATTATAAGTAGTACTAAAAATGTAAAATAAAAATATTTAAAATAAAAAAATATTATAGAAAATAAACTAAAAATATATTTTTAAATTAAAAAAAGTTACTACATTTAATACAATTAATACAAATTTACAATCTATCTGTAGAACATTTAAAAGAGAACAAACAAATGAAAGTTAAGCTGTATTTATTTAGATGTCCTCTAAATGAATGTAAAATAAAAAGCTCATATTTAGTTTGACAGCCTGAGTTTGTAGATCAACATTTTCTGAAGGTTAAGCTCTTCTCTTCACTGACCAAAAAAAAAGAAAGAAAGAAAATGACTCATGCCAACACATGAAGAACGCACATCAAATCACCAGTCAAATCAGCCTGTGACGTTGAACACGCGATTCTGTCCTGAACTCTATAGACGTTTTGGGTTTCTACTGTAATTCCCTCCTTCTGTCCCGCGAGAGCGACCGTCATCTGAGATCCAGAATCAGTGTTACTCCAGCTGTCCTTAATGAGAAGCCCAGACTGAAGCGCCGGCCAGCAGACGTGGAGTCATGGAACGTGTGTGTGTGTGTGTGTGTGTGTGTGTGTGTGTGTGTTAACGGAGGAGAGGAAGATTCCAGAACTAATGCAGAACCTCAGCAACCGTTTATTAGCAGCATTCCTCAACAAATGTGAGTCACATGTCACCAGAGAGAGAGAGAGAGAGCACAATAAAACACTGAGATTTACAAATGATTCTCACCGTTGTTGTCTTGCTCATATTCATTTTGATCCTGCAAAACAAGAGCAGATTTGAGATTAGACGCCTTTATAAAACAAACCTGGACAGTATGTGTCAATCTTCAGTATTAAATACAGTCTCTCCTTCGGTTCAACTGAGCTGACAACATGAAATGCCATTTATAAAGTTATTAATCTGACATATTTCTGAGTGACACTGAATATTCAGTAGGGAAATAAAGGGCAAGACTTGATTTTATAGATCAGGAAGTATTAATCTATTATTTCTGTCTGCATTTATTACATCAACAGAAAAACATTTCAGAGGCAGATTAAGTTACAGTGAGTTGATGAAAGATCATGTTAATAAAAGTGTGCAATAATTGTTTATGTACTATAATAGCAGAGACACTCAAGTAGGGCTGCACGATTATTCGCACGATATTGTTATGCGCATCTAATCAGTAAAGCCGGTTCCTTGATTAGTAGTAAATCACCTTCACCTGCTTTCAGATGGACGATATGATGTAGATATGAGTGTTAAATTAACACTCAAGAGTGTTAAAGTTAATGACATAATTAAAGTCCCACTCCGATCATATTTTTTAGCTATTTTTAAACATTCCCAGTGGTCTTTAAATTATGATTATGCCATTTTTAGCCAAAATCACAAAACCTGTGCCGTTTTCTGGGACTTCGCTTCAGCAGAGCGGCAGTAGCTCATTAGAAATTCGCCTCTGCGTTGTGGGCGGAGCCGTTGGCACGGAGACGACCCTCCCCCTGCCCGTTGCTGAGAGCTCTGTCTCTCCCGCTAGCTTACATCCCCAACCTGTCAATACCGGTGCAACAAAAATGGAGAACAATATTGGAGCTATCCAGCCGTACAGTTTTGAGCCAGATGCCAGCTCGGACGAGGAACAAGAGGACGTACATAGATCTAGTCGTATACTAGTGGATGTATCAGAATGGTAACGTTATTGTTTGTGTAGTCTCTTGAATTGACTATTTCAGGCCAATAACTCCTAATAACATGTTAGTAAATAAATATGTTTGTGGACATGCTCCAAACATTTAGTCAGATTAACCTTTTTGAAGTTTTCATAGCTATCACACAAAGAATAAATCATAGTGCTGCAGAATCAAGTTTAAATTTAAGTTTACTTCTAGAGCACAGTATGAGCTTGTGGCCCCGCCCAGTGGAGTTACTACGTCACAACTCCAGTCTATTTCAAACGGCATTTTTGCGTCTGCTACCGATTCACAGCCATTTGAATGTAGAAATACTCAGAAATACAACTTTGAGCTTATTTTTCTAAAGATATGTCCTCTAACATAAGAAAAATGCCACAAGAACATGTTAACACCTAGAAAAACATTATTTTCATCGGAGTGGGTCTTTAAGTGATTAATTTAGTGATCATTGAGCATTATTGAAGACACCTGATGATAGCAAGCAGAATCACTGAAGGAGAAAATCTAAAATTGTAAGCCACCGTTATGGCGATCAGTGTTTGCTTTAGTTGGGCTCTTGATCCTTATACTTTAAGTTTACATTTTGTTTGTCTGCTGTTATTGATTTATTACAGTCAAATGAACAAAGACAAGTGTGATCTGATAGTGTTGGTTATGTTTTGACATAATCATGCTGTGATCTGAAAAATGAAACTCATTCAGATGATCTGGTTTAACTTGATAGCAACAGTTTAGTGATTCTACAGCATATGATAATTATATTTTTCTTATAATTCAAAACATTTAATAAAAATTATTCTGATCAAATCACTTTCAGATGCATTTATTTAGAAACACAGACATCAATAATCAGCCTGTGAATCTCAACCGTGGTGACAATAATAATCCTTGTTGCCACCAATCACAACTCATTAATGGCTCCCATCATGCATTGCGGTATGAATAAATTATTATCTGAATTGTCTATGTAATTTACTTTTCCTAATTGAATATTCTGCTCATCACCATTGTTGAGATGCATTGACTGAATCTTGATATCTGTGTGTGCCTAATAGAAAGTTTTTTTTTTTTTTTTTACAACTTTTAAAAATACTTTATATTATATCTCAAATTCTGGATATTTATGCAGAATCACAGTTATGCTGTAACCATCAGCATAAATCACAAACAATTATTTCAAATGATGAATGTCATAATATATCCAACACCATTAGATCATTTTTTTTCTGTGTTCATCTGGCAGGTATAGCTCGGATACAACAGCCGAACAAAATCTAAAGTTATGAATATAAGGGTCAAGAGCCCAACTAAAGCAAACACTCATCTCCATAATGGTGACCTGAAATTCCGGTTTTCTCCTTCAGTGATTCTGCTTTAGGTGTCTTCAATAATGCTCAATCATCACTCAATTAATCACTTAATTATCTCATTAACTTTAACACTCTTGAGTGTGGACTCATACACTCCCAGGTGTGTTCATTTAACACTGAGTTTTTGCTGTGTACAAAGAGCCGTAGTTAACTGACAAGCTGAGCCATATCGCATTAAATATCGTTGGCGATATGTCCTCGATTTTAACGCGATTTGGCTCAGCTTGTCAGTTAACTACAGCTCTTTGTAGTAAATGCCGCTCCATCTGAAAGCAGGTGAAGGTGATTTAATACTAATCAAGGAACCGGCTTTACTGACGAGATGCGCATAACAATATCGTGCGATTAATCGTGCAGCCCTACACTCAAGACAGAAAATAGAAACAAAAGTTCGTTAATAGAAAAAAAAGAAAAAAAACACCACAGGATAAAATGAGTAAGAAATTCCTCCTGTGAAGGACAAATGAATGAAGTGCATCCACATAAAGAGCTGTGGTTTTACTGACCCAGAAAACAGCTGTGGAGTCCAGCAGAGAGAGTGTGTGTGTGCGTGTGTGTGTGTGTGTGTGGACCCTGCGGCTGTTAGTTTGTACCCCACCCAGCTAACAGTGTTATTTTAGACACACATACAGTCAGTTTACAGCACTACTGTGATACCAAATACAGTTACGATCATAATTTAAACCCCTCTGAACTAAGTCAGTCAATTAAACAGAAATAAAAATGGTCATTTGATAGACCTTTTACAAAGGAGGATAAAAAATTCATTTTACATTGTTTCATTTCATTTCCTGTTTGTCTTAAAAGTCTCAACTAGTACAAAAAACATTATATATTTTTTTTAAATCAAGGGAAATTATTTTTATGAAACATTGGAGAACTAAATTATTAAAATAAATAAAAATAAATCTTATTATAAACATGTAATTTCTGTTTGTCTTGATCGTCTCTGGCCTTATAGCACCTGATTAATCATTGCATACTTTATCAATTTCATTAAAATAAATGAATAAAAAATAAATAAAACACTTATAATAAAGTTTGATTATGTATTTTCTGCCTGTCACAAATGTAGTGGCGCTATAGTACTTGATTGCTTTATTTTTTTATTTTGATGAAATGTTGCAAAAAGTATTTCTTAAAAATAATTTCATTTACAACAGGTTTAATTTTATAAATTTTGTTCATTTTCATACGTTTATTTAGATATAGGGTTGCAGAATGTATAATACAATTATTTTTTTAATTGTTTTTTTTTTTAGATGAAGAATTGCAGAAAACAATCCCTCTTCAAAATAAATACATTTACAATAAAGATTTATTTAGATAAGGGGTTGCAGAATATTTATGTATTTTCTGTCTGTCGTGAACATGTCTGGCCTTACCGTACATGATTAATCACTGCACACTTATTTAAAAGAAAAATCTAAATTAATTAAATAAATTATTAATGTTAAATTATTATGTGACTTTTTTTGTTGCATCGTTTTGTTGCAATTTTTCCCCTCTAGAATAAAATGTTGTGATGAATTGTTCACAGTAAGAGCAGGAACACGCATGAAGAAAGTGGAGCTCATAAGTCAACATGAACTCCCGACACACCCTTTCATTCACGTTCACGTGCTGTAGAGTGTTTTGCAGCTGCTTAATGACTAAATAAACACAGCTCAAACAGGTTCAGGTGACCTACATCCAGATCACACTCATAAATCTAGCGCTTGAACTCACCAGACTGTTGCCGGGAGTGCCGTTATCATAAACGATGGCGGGCTGGCACCGTCTCAGAGGAGCCGAGGGTTCACCGCACAGGACGCCCGTCGCTTCTCCACCTGTGAACACACACACAGGTATCAGATCATCAATAACATGATAGGACCTTTGGCTGTGCATCCAAACAAACTCTACAGACCAACATCTCTAAAACAATATCAGGTGCAGCGTTTCTTCACTGTCAATCTTCCTATTCAATCATCTCAGATTAAACATTTTCCAAATCGCTTGTCCAATGCAATTCATAGTAAATGACCATGAACTTGATTTAGACAATTCTGGAAGGGTATTGGCCCTATTGGGTCACAACTTGATGTTGATGATAGTAATATCAGAGTCATAAAACAAACCATTTTAAATAGCATCACAATGACATGATGCAATGTTTTCTTGAATCATCTGCTAAAATAAACAGACATTTGCATCTGGTTTGTTTTAATGTGGGTAAAAAAATAATTTTTACATTTTTAAAAAGTCAGCCAGCGACCTGATTGAGCTGCTATTACTACAGACATATTTACTTTCAAATACTACAGTTTCAAATAAATAAAATAAACTAAAAACTGAACTTAACCTATATTGACAGGTTAATTAATTAAAATGTCAATATAGGTTAAGTTCAGTTTTTAGTTTATATATACACACCTCAAGGCTTTTATGAGTGTTTCGAGTGTGACGTGACCTTGAGGTCAAAGTCCTAAACACATCTAGGAGAATCACAGTTTGCTTCTTATGTGTTGAAATGCAAACAAAGAGCTTTGTGTTTGACTGTCCATCAGTGTCTAACAACTGCAGCATCCTATTGTGTGTCAATGGAGTGATTATGAACTTTAAACGAGCTCAACAGTAACACACACACATCCACAGAGTCTGTGCTCTGGAAGTGTTTCGGTCTATGGAGAAAGTAGAGTTTCTGAGACCGCAACCAAACCAGCTGAAATTAATCAAAATGTGTGAGATTGTGATTTAAGTAAAAAAAGAGAAGAGATAAATTAATAAATTAAAAGAAGAAAGCTGCAAGAAAACTTTCAGTCAGTCAACTATTCAACCCATGAAGTACTGTGAATAATGTAACCAAATAAACAGTACAAAATAGCATAAAAATATATCTTACGTTTTTCAAAATATTCACAAAATGTATTTATACACAAAATGTATTTATGTATAAGTAGTTTGAGGCTGTAGGGAAACAGACTCGATTACATCATTCAGTGTTTCATGGGAGTGTCCGGTCACTGCTGAGCCATTTTGCAGTGACTCCTGTTTCCATGGTAACAGCCATCCTGTAGGATTATGGGAAGTGAAGTTTTCAACGGGAGTACTACTAACAGAGCCTTCAAGGTTGGAAAAAAAAGAAAAGAAAAGAAAAAAAGACAAAAGAACAGTGCTACACACAGCGCTGGCAAGGAGACGAGGCCATTTTTGAATGGATGTCAATGGAGAAGGGAATAACTGCTTAGTTAATCAATCGCCAGACTATCTCCTAATCTTCAACATGTTTGCCATTAAACATTAGATTTGGATGGATCTATTTTTAGAGTTTACATTTAAAAAAAGGCTGTTTTGAGACAAATCAGACAATTTTGCATTATTTGTGATCTGAGTGACAGTTCATGCTCAGTCTGTCTGGAAAAGTTTTATACATAATTTTTTTTAAAATACACTTTAGGCAAAACCATTGTTCGATTTTGGTAAATTTTCGCTTCCATAACCACTACTTTCAGACTAGTGTACAGAAAACATCCAGAATACACATTTAAGTGTTTATTGTATTGCACTTTATCTATTTGCGTCTGTAGATTTCAATTACAATCCACATCTTTAAAGTTTTGTTCTCCACTTCAGCATCACTTATATACACCAAACTTTACAGTTTTATTCCTAACTATATTCTGAAGGTTTTTACTGAAGGGTTTATTCATATATCATTCATACTGATTTGTATAACATTTTATTCCTAAAAACATGCTGAAAATGTGTTTTTCTGGCTGTTGACAGTATTTTATGATTTATGAAGTGATAAAAAGAGAGATCAGAAATCCCTTCTGTAAAAACCTTTAACTCTAATATGTCAACAAAATCAAACAAGAACTTTGAATCTGGCTTCATCTAACATTCGGATAAATCTTCTGGAATCAAATGAGTGCATATTTAAACACCCCATTTCAGAAATCTTGTAATACAAAACAAATGTCTTAATGTACTGTGATTAATCAGCTGGGAAGGTACTATGATGATATCAAATAGTTACATTTTAACCCCATTCACCTGTCCTGTAGTGTCTTGCCTGAATGGACAAAATTGGAACGTGACTTTTACTTCTGGAACCGACTGTTACAATCCATTAGCTGAAACAATAAAACAAATAAAAATCGAAACCCTTTACAAAACACAATGGACAATCACAACGACATCCTGTCAGGCACCTCTGGTCAACACAACAAACTTCCTCTCAGACAGGAGAGAAGCTCATTCAATCAGAGCAAGACTATGAGAGAAAATCCACACATCCGACACGGATACATGGTGCACATAAAAATGCCAAGAGTTTCCCAAAAAAAATTATCTGACCAGATTCTTTACACAACTAAAATCAGTATGCAGAAGTTCGACCGGGAAACAAAGCCATTTACAAGTCAAGTTTCAAGACCATAAAGGGGTTGTTCACCCAAAAATGGAAATTCAGCCACCAATTACTCACACTCATGTCGTTCCAAAACACAAGACATTCGTCTTCAAAAAACAAACAACGATATTGTTATAGTCAAGCATGTTTGAGCTTCTGTTTAACATATTATTTGACTACTCCGTTTGTTCAATGACTATTATTATTGAGAATAAAGTCATTCATTAAATCTGTTCATCATATAAAGCCATTCTGTCTCTTCTGAAGACTTGAATTAAACTGCTCGATTCATATTTGCATTAGTTTTTATGATTTATGTATGATTTAACGCCATATCAGAAGCAATGGCTATATTCATGGCAATCAACAGCATTTCAATTTTTAAAAAATTCTGATTACAATATCACTTCAATAAATTGTTTACAATAATTTAACAATTTTGACTTAAATCAATATGCAAAAACATACTAAATATATACCAATAACAACAGTAATCATAAATTACATATAATCTTTCAATTGAGTAAAATGATAGAAATTCTAAAAATATTTCAGGAGAAACCCTTTCAAAAATGTCTATTAATATATTTTCTGAATAAAAAAACGTTGTGTAATATCGTTTGAAAATGGATATTCTATTAAAATGTTTATGAAATATTTATGAATGTTCAGAGTTTTGGGTGAATAGACTTTCAGTGGAAAGACTGAATCTCTTAAATTTCATTCATTTCTTCATTTTTGTTTTTAAGATGAACAAAAGTCGTATGGGTTTAGACTAGAATTCACATTTTTGGGTGATCTAGCCCTTTAAGGCATGAAGTGCACATCATATCAAGTCTTTAAAAGCTATTCAGAGAGTTTTTTGGACCACCAAGATCAGCTTATGAATATTGCTTGCTACAGAATGTCAGTTTTGTTCCCCCGAGTTACAGCTGTAAAATAACCAGACGCAGCAAACGCTGCAGTGGGATTCAAAATCCCAGAAGAGAGCCAACAAAGGCCTTTAGAGAGAATAAACAGATATAGGAACGGCACCTGCCCGACTGAAGCATTAGCGCTGAATCAAAAGCTCAGATTATCCCGATACGAGCGTTTATCCGTATATGAGCTTGTGCAGGGCTAATCGCACGACTGCAGGCTGCATTCAAAACACTCCTGCATGCAAATACACGTTTCTTTTTCAGAAAATAAAGATCCTGTCAAACTCTGAATATCCAAACAGCCCAGAGCCGCCTCGCTGTCTACATAGGCAACTCCCTTCTAAGGCAACATCCCACATAAGTGACGGATCTGGAGCAGCATGTGAAGCACATGGGGGAAACAACTCAAGTGTTTGACATGTTGCTAAACTAATGATGTGCTACTCAAAGCAGAACAACAGCAGATATTGGGAAATGTTCCCATTGAAATTGAAATTTTTGAATGCAGGTGTATTTATTAATAAGCACTTCTCTGTGTAAAGCAGACCGTCCTGTAATGGATGCTTAATCATGTCGTCACACACTAACATTCTCTACATCATGAGTCATTTCCTGAATCACTGGACAATCAGGATATTAGTCCAGGAAATGACATCATGCAAACAGTATGCTGACACACTCGTGGTCATGTGAGGCAACAAGCGGTTAAGACATGAGGGCCAAGAAGAATAGTTTCCTAAAATATAAATATATATATTTCTTTAATGAATTAAATCATATACAAAAAAATAATAATAATAATTCAAAAAGAAAACAATTCCAAATAATCAAATCAAATGTTTTGGCCTGTAAAAGAGGTCAACAGAACAAAACTAGACTCAAAAAACTGAATGTGAGAGGCAAACTGAACTGACCTACAAATAAAACAGACACATTTATACAATCGGACTAATCCACATTAACACACAAACTGCAAAATACAACAAAATAAAATAAAAAATTCCTTTGATCACAGGAATAAATATCATTTTAAAATATATTATAATAGAAAACTTTTTAAATTGTAATATTTCACAGTTTCTACTGTATTTGTGATCAAATAAATGCAGCCTTGGTGAGCAGGAGAGAAGGTTTCTAAAACCGTACAGAAGTCTTACAGACCCCACACTTTTGAATGGTCGTTTAGACGAGCTCAAATATACAGACACCAATTAAAAACATAAGGCCGGCATTAATGCCATGCTGGTTTCAAATAACGCAAGCATTAAAATCTAACCAAGCCCAGATCTGACCAGGAGCAGAATCTGAACCAGATGTGTGTGTGGGGTTGTGTGTGGTACCTGGCGGGTTGTTCCTCCGGTGGGCGTGAGGGTCGTCGGGTTCAGCAAAGATACTGGAGGCCATCTTGTTTTTGCGCGCCGGCTTCTCTTCATCGGTGCCGAAGGAGATATTAGAGGCTCCGCCAGGGGGACGCAACACCCTACGACACATCGGTCAGAAGAACAACAAATCAGTGTCACATACACACTCGGCCTAATGACACTCAATAGAGCATAAAGGAAATACACTAGAAGAAGCACTGGACATTGTGATATACTGAAATACATCACCAGTAGAAATCTGAATAGCATGATACCAGTAGAATTGACCCCTTTATGTTGTTTACATGCGAGAACAATGAAGAAACGTGCGAAAATTCAAAGCAGGGCGTGTCAGTCATTTATGTTTGACAAGCAATAATGCACCTTGGGGAGTTAATATTGAATTTAATGTTTTTTTTTCCAATAGAAACAGGAATAGTTTTCAGAAAACATTTTCATTAGTTTAACAATACATTTACATTATTTAACGAAATATCAGAAGCACAAGGATATTTTTTAAAACAAACTCAAAGAATAGCCTAGAAAATTAAAATAACCATAACAATAAAACTTCAATACTCAATTACATTCAAAAAATAATTTAACAATTTTTTCATCCTTAAATACATAGCAATTATAAGCGCTTTCATTTATTACCAAATCTAAAATCTTGCCAGACGTCTTTAAAATGACCGTAAATTGTCTTTTTTATATATATAAAACTGTTGCCTAATATAATTTAAAGCAGGACAGTTAAATAAAAAATGAAAATCAATTGGATTATGCAAAATATATTTGCACATATGCATTTGGCAATGCCTTTTATAGAAGACGTACATTTGATCGGTTCATGCTTTTCCTGATGATTGAACGCATGACCTTGCGGTTTGAGCCACACAAGAATTACCAGATGGTTATTAAAAATATGCACCACTTAGTGAGCATAAATGAATATTTTGTGATGTAAACTGGTTACACTGATATAAAGCAACTGCCCACCCCTAATCTGGACACACACACACACACACACAGCTGACTAGTCCAGCTCATCTGCTCACACAAGTGCAGATTCCATCGTTGGATGGTTCTCATTCAGCACATATGTTGAATCATTAAAAAGACATGAGGGCGGGTGTCAGCGAAGCCCGGATGAAAAGCAGTGGCCCTGAGATTGATGTTTCTGAGGGAAGCCCTAATCAATGCTTGTGAATCAAACCTCCTCCTGGAGGCCAGCTGACACCCGACGGCAGCTGTCAGGCTCTCGCCTCGTCGTCCACACGCAACTTTCTGCTCCCTTTGTCAAAGGAATCGACAGTGCGGAGATTAGAAACCCATCCAGTGCCGTCTGGAGGCGCTGGTTAAACAGCTAATGCCTTAACCAGACTAAAGCTTTGGGATCAGATCAGGGGACTTTAGCAGGAGAAGGAGAAGGCCGCGTCGCTCGAGACCCCACCCAACACACACAGGACACACACATGCCATTAAAAATCCCTCCTCAAGCCCAAGATGCATGCTGAAAACATCACTGAATCAGACAGAGTGACCAATAAACACGCCTGCTCTCGGCTTGACCTACATTTCTGGCCGTCCTGCTGAGGGAAACCCCAGACACACAGGATTTAGAGAGGAAAAATGGAGAAAATCACTTGGATTTTACAGGGGAATGAGCAGTCAGGGTGGCAACATGTTGCATCAAGGATGCCTAGAAACTAGACAATGCCTGAATCCTCGTTTAAACGCAACCTCAGTTCAGTGCAACAAAAGCCACTGCAACATTTTTTTTGACATGCAAATGCCAGAATGCATCTCCAGCCCTCCCTCGCTCGCTCGAAAGTTACAGTGATATCATTTCTGCACACACAAACACACCTAAAAAAGAATAAAAATGAGTTAGTTTGGACCACACCGTCCTTTGGTCAGACATGCAAATCTTCCACTGGTTGGTTTTGCTGGAAGACATTCAATGCATCTGTTCCAAGCCTAGTATCAGAAACCTTTTAAGGACAATGGAGCGTGTATTTTTGGGCCAGAGCTCGAGGATACACTCAATAGTCAGATGACTGAGATTAAACAGATAGAGAAAAAAAGAAGAAATAAGCAGCAGAGAAAACATCTATTCATGAAATCATAAAGCATGGCACAATGCAAACAAAACTTTAAAGCAAATCTCCCAGTTTGAGATGCAGTGGCAGCCTGCCAACACAATTCCTTTATAATGGGTGAAGTTTGGGCAGCAAAACACCAGACATCAGATCAAATACACGTCAAACCTGGGTATAATGTGCCTGGACTGGATCTCACATCTGAATCTGGGTGGATATGGGTCTTCATTGGCAGGAGGAAGAGGATGATGATGGTGGTGGTGGCAGACAGTCTGGGAGAATTCAGATCAAACGGAAATGCGAATCAAGCTAAATCCATTAAAATCCACATATTAAGGTTGATTAGCTTCATTTGCATTCGCGTATTGGAGGAGGAATCCATCCATCAGTCCACCACCATCATCATCATCATCATCATCATCATCACCTCCAGCTCTTCTTTTGTCTGCCTAGCGAACGCAACAAACCCGTTTAAATCCATTTACCTGGAGCTGTTTTTGGCACCGGGCTCCATGCCTGTGAAAGTGGTCGTCGTAGTCATGTTGAGCGGGTATTGTGCTCGCTAAACCGCGGTAGAAACCCTTCAGCTGGACTGAATTCGTGTAAGTCGTTTATCCCGCATGGACTCCGCCCGGACCAGCTGAAATCCGAGTGCAACGGAGCGGCCCTTTAGACCAGCCCACGAAACCCCGCCCACCGGGGCGACGCGCGATCTGATTGGACAGAGCTCAGCGGTCCCTGGCGTTCGATTGGAGGAGCGGCCGTCAATCAGACGATAGCCTTCCTGGGTTCATGCGATGTGGTTTACTGCATAATCACCCATAGGCTATTTACTAAAAAACGTGATATGCACATATTTACATTATAAAAATGTATAAATTACATTAAAAATGTAAAGTTAAACCTTAGAATAAACTAAAAAACGCCATTTTTTTTTATTTGAATATAATTATGAATCATAACTTAAATTCTTCAACCTACAATGAATTGTAATTGTGTGGAATTATATCTAATTATGTTAATAAGTCATTTAAACGTCATTTTAAATAATTTCTAAAATGAAATCAATGTTATTTGGAATGAAAAACTGTTTAAATATGCATGTCATTCAGTGAGTGCAATGACTAAACACACACACACCTGCATCTGATAAAAAGAGAATATTTTATTTTCACAAGAGATTAGACAATACAGACAGATGCTGGACTTGTCCGAAACATGAATCCCCCTCGTACGTACGAGTCAAAACATGTTTACCACAAGCGTTGCACTATACATGATCACTACCATTAAAAAAAAAGAAAGAAGTTTTAAAACCAAATCGTCTGAATGGAAACCAGGAAATCAATTTGAACCGCAGGCTTAAGCTACAACAGAGCTGAACACACTGTGTGTTTTCTTTAAACACACAATCATAATAACTTGGGAAAAAGCCTGCGCACTCGTATCTGAACTCAAGCGCGCGGCTCGTGTCAATGATTCGAAAGAGGAAACATGTATTAGTTGGTCTATACACAGATGACGGTCTTCATGATAGTTTAACTTGGGTTTAACGTGTCAGATTTCACAGGTATTAACAAACCCAATGCAATAATTACTGTAGCAGGAACCCTTTATGTACAAAACCAAAAGAAAACGTGATGAACTGAAAACACTATACAACAGCAGTTACAGAAAAGCATGAGGAAGGAGAGAGAGAGAGAGAGAGAGAGAGAGAGAGAGAGAGAGAGAGAGAGAGAGAGAGAGAGAGAGAGAGAGAGAGAGAGAGAGAGATTCAGATGTGTCCTCCTGTCTGTTGCTGGAAAACGTCGATTGTGTCTTCATCCTCCATTTCCAACTGCGGAAGAAGAACATGAGGGTTATTATTCAGCATTATTAATAAACACAAGACTTCCTGTTGACTGTGAAATCGACACCTATCCGCTCCTATCCCATGATGCAACTCTACAATGGTGCCGTCACCCTGGGTTTATTCAGGGAGCTCTGTAATATTTCTGACTTTGCCTGGATCTTCATATAAGAGCACATGACACCAGCTCTGTCTAAATGATGCATTACACTTCTAATCCATATGGAGAATTTTATATATTATGTATATATGGAGAATATTTTATCAATAATGATACTCACTTGATTTGAATTTTGTACTGTAATAAAAAAAAACTGATTTTTTAAAATTAATATAAAGGCAGTACAATAAACACTACCGATGTATTAATATTTAATACATTTATACATATAATATTTGCTTGTTTGTTTATATATATATATATATATTTATTAATTATTTTTAAAAATATTATTTTATATATAATGTATCGTAAAAATGTATATATATGCTCATATTTATAATACATAATATATATATATATATCATTTAAATAATACATGTTTTATATATATATATATATATATATATCTGTGGAAAAGAGCTATACAAATAAACTTGAATTGAATATAAATATATATTTGAATTAAAAAAAATATATATATCTCTCTCATATTTTATCATTACAGTAATTCATGTAAGAGAGTGGGAAAGAAATCTACATAATTATCATGAAAATATCATGTCACAGTGTAATTAGGCTTCATTTTCTTAATATGATTACTAATGCAATTAGGCTTTGTTTTATTAAGTATGGATTGAATATGACCTGGACATTCAGGCTTTGAGATGAATACAGTTTGTTTTGAAGGCCAATTCACAGCACACAGACAAACACGTTCGTTGGGTTTTGTCGGATCAGTGTGTGTCTGCGTCTGTTGGTGTTGGTCTGGGTTTGTTTTCACCCGACTGAACATGTTCAATCAGTGTCTGTCGGGCAGTGTGAACATGACACATATTTTTCATTAAATTATAAATCCAACAGCCAACATGTTTGTTGCCGTTTGTCTGTGGGCTGTGGATTGGCCTTTAAACACCTTTGCACACACACACACACACACATAATTTACTATTATTTATAACCTTTTTTCCTCATGGGAACCAAGAAAATGTCCCCACAAGGGAAAAATGACTGGTATTACTATCCTTGTGGGGACATTTGGTCCCTATAACACACACACACACACACACACACACACACACACACACACACACACACACACACACACACACACACACACACACACACACACACAAACACACACACACTGTGATGTCATACCTGTGCGGGCGTGTCTGTTTCATTGATTGGCTGTCCGTCAAACCGGAATCGAATCTGCCTCATTGTCAGTCCCTGCAAAAACACATGAGCACATCAGTCCAGTGCGTCTCACAGCACACACACACTTCACCACTCAACATCTGTGCTGTTCACACACCGTTACACACAAGATCTCATTAAGATGTTGAATTAGCTTCCGGTTTCATTTTAAGTTTTGTTATATTTTAGTACTTTTGTAATGAGCTTTTGACATTTTTATTAGTTTTGGTTTATTTTAAATATTAATATTTAGGATTCATTAATTTTTATTTTATTTTAAAGTTTTTATTTATTTATTTTTATTTATTAGTTATTAATTATTCATATTTATTTTAATTGTAAATTGTGATGAAATTATGAAATTCTTTAGCAATTAACTTAAGTTAAATTTTTTCATCTAATATAAATAGGGTTGGGTATCGTTTGGGTTTTATCCGATTCCAGTACCTACTCTGTATTTTTTAAACGGTTCCGGTGCTTAAACGGTTCTTAAATCGGTCCTTAAGAAAATGAAACCGCACACACTTTATCAAAAAATAATACCCTTTAATTTACAGGGCCAAACTGGACACAATCTTAACTTAAATCTTTAAACAATATAAATACAAGTAACATATGGTAATAATAAAACCAATATAAAATAAAAATTCATATTTACATAATATCAAATGAAACAATATTGTATCAAACAATGTAATAATACTGGAGATTAATAGAGATTACTAGCAGGCAGAGCTGCCAAGTCTCACGCATTGACCGTGAGACTCACGCAAATGACCCTTTTCACACAGAAAAATCGCGGACAAAGAGGACACGGACAGACAAGACAGAGAAGGTTACTTTTGATATGGAACAAATCCACAGCTGTCAGATTCTGTCAATATTTTTACGAGATTCACACAATAAATAACGTTTTGGCTCTTTGAAATGTGACAGATCGCTGTAGCGTGTCAGTTCAAACGGCACGTGATACAGCAGCCTACAAATCCACTGCTTCTTAGCTACGCAGCGTTGAGTGAACCTATGAAAGAGAACATCTCTGGTTACTGGTGTAACCTATGTTCTCTTAATAGAGAACGAGACGCTGCCAAGCTCCTTGCGCTGCCGACCAGCTTCCTTTTTCGGCAAAGAAATCTGAGGAGCAGATGGCGCGCGCGCGCCAACATAGTATGACGACGTAAGTGCGTCGATGCGGCGCCCGCGCCATCAGCCAATGAATTGGCTTGATTCTATATGGGATTCAGACTATCGGCACACCCAGAGGGCGTTCTGACACGTAATTTTACACGTGAAATGCAGCCAAACCTTGCGAGAAAGAGCGCGCTTGCGAGACAGAAGAGACTGTGCACCAAACTGTGTAGCACACGCGCACGGCGGAGAGAGAGAGAGCGAGAGACCTTGTGTGTGTGCGTGTGTGCCTAATGAAGTTAGGCACCGAAATCAGGCACCGAAATTTTCGTTCTTATTCGGTCTGGTTACTACCGTTTACGTCGGAACCGGTTCCCTATTGGCACCGAGTTTCGGTACCCAACCCTAAATATAAATATATTTAATTTTAATTTATTCAAACCATTTCAATTAACAATAATGTGTTGATATAATTATTTAGTGATAATAACCTGCTGAAAACTGAATAAATCCTGAATTAATTAATTAGACTTGTTCTTTTTAAATATTAATATGATACATTTATTTTTATTTCAGTTTAGATTTTATTTTATTATTAGTTATTTATTTATTTATTTATTTTAGTGCATAAAATTTACTTGAAATTACTTTATTTGAAATTCTACTTTGGCAACTAATTGAAATAAGCTAAAAAAATAATAATTTTTATATTTTAATTTTATTTAAAATTAACAAAAATAGTGTTTTAACCGTTTTAATAGTGTTAGTTAGTGACAATAACCAGCTAAAAACTGAATATATCCTGAATTAATTACTCAATTATACTTGTTCTTTTAATGAATCGACTGGCAAATCCCTCTGAAAAGAAAGAAACGTTAAAATCTGAAGGTGCACATCATCTTTTTAAACCCCAAAGAAGGGAAATAAAGTGTCAGATAGAGATCAGCTGAGACCTCACGCCTTGATGTGTGTGTGTTCTTCTGTTAACACGGGTTTCCTCGGGCCAGAGACGCTTCCTTCCAGTGAACGCTGTCCTACTTCTGCGGGCCAAACTCGCAGCGCCACGATGAGATTAAACCCTGCGCCTCTGCCAGGAAAACATGTTCCCGACCCGAAGATCACGAGGAGCATCTTAACCCCGTGTGTGTGTGTGCAGGGATGTGGTCTCATACGTGAACATTCGAGTCATTGTTCGCTCTCGAAGCCTCTCTGCCATGGAGAAACCCTCGCAGCGGATGCGCAGGACCATTAACCGGACGCGAGGGAGTCATAAAGCCAGCAGACGCGGAGGAAGTTATTGATCATAAGGATGAAGAGCTTTAGTGCTGTAACATCAGTGAGCCGCCAGACTCATGTTCATACGTCCTGCTTCAGTCCTTCCTCAAGGTCCTTCAATGTTGTTGTAATGACAGACGGGTGGAATAACGTTCGTCTGAACAATGCTCTTGGATATTATCTATCAAATATTAGTCATCCTTATTTGTGCGATTTGTAAAAAGTACATAAACAAACAAATGTTTAGTTTCTGAATCAATTATCTCATATCTAAGCTTTTAATCATAGTGTTCTCTGATTGTTTATGTATATCATTTTCACTGTGGTGAAAATCACGTTTTTAATGTTGTTTATATGTCTATATAGTGTTTTTATAACACAAACCATGTGCAAATTCATAAGTCGACAGCATTGCTGAGTATTTCCTCCTTAAAACTGCTGTGAACCAAAGACAGTCTCAAAAACACGGTTTGAAATCGCTGGTGTTTCTGACGTCACAAACGACCTTGTAACCAATCAGATCAGCGTGTGATCGTCAACCAGTGGATCTCTGAGCTGAGTGAGTGAGTGGAGGCGGGGCTCATTTGCATATTCATAGAACCGCGTATACTAAATGAGGCAAGGGTGTCGAGTTACATTCAAGATATTTTAAGGCATGAAGATTTTTTTTTTCAAGGAAAAATGTTTAAATATGTCAAAAGATGAGTTTTAAGGGATACAATTATTGACTTCAGGGCGACTTTAAACGGTTTCTATAAGGAGGCCAAGGAACACAGGACATAAAATGCTAAGATCATGCTTAAAATATTAAAAGCATGCCTTAAAACCCCTTTATCACCACATTAATGTATCCTAGGTGGCATCTTATTATTGTGGATTATCTTTGTAATATGTTGTCATGCGGTCGCATTGTTTAGTGAGGGTGAAAAGGTCCGAGGTGCAATAAAACGAGAGCACAGATTAGAGCGCCACAGACGGTTCCGGTAGTAAAATCTCCATCCACTTTCTCTATAGGGAAATTGACTTTTAAGCAATAACTTAGAAATCTTTAAAGCCAGCCCTACTGTGAGCTAATTATGCCTCCGCTGAAGCCGTCAGCCCTCATTATTTAAACTTATTTTAAAAAGAAATCATGTTAAGAAGTGCAATTTGTGGTGACAAACTACATTACCCATAATGCTGTACAGCAAAGTACACCAATCAGAGAGTCTAAACAAGAAAAACACACCAAAATCTCTCGTCAGCTCCCATGAACAACGCAATCGTGTTGATCTTTCTATGATCTCAAAATACGGAAATATTTAAATAAATATTATGCATATATATATATATAATCAACATTTGCGATTAGTTTTATGCTTCTCCATCGTTTTTAATTTGTTTATGCTGTTTGCAATGCATCATGGGATTGTAGTTATTTCCCTCACTAAAGCCGTAAGTTCACAGTCTTGTACCTTTGTGATTTTGTCAGATCTTCAAATACTTAAAATAAACGTTTGTAATGTTGTGATTCTCCTCGTAGCTGATTGTCTTGGCTCATGGCTAATAACTTTTTTTAATGATATTGGTAATTAGCGTATAATTAAGGCATTTCTCTCTTTTTTGGGGGTATGTTGTTTTATATATTTTGTAAACAAACTATTTTTGTGAGTAATAATAAATGCAGTGTAATTAATAAAAAATAAAAAAAGCGTTTCTGCACAGAATTACCAATATGAACAAAACTTAATTTTCTAATAATATTTAATGTTGTATTGTTGTTGTTTTGTGTTGACCAATTCTAGTGTGTGTCTTCAGTATAGCAGTGAAGAAACTATGATGGGCTTGTGTAAACCTCGTCTATATTTTGGACACAAACTCTAATATGTGCCGCCGGGACGGTAAGTTGTCGATCCTTGTAGCTGAGAAGCACTGTGTGTGTGAGTGTGTGTCGTGATGATCTCACCTGTCTCTCACAGTAGGCCTTCATGAGTTTGCTGAGGGGTGTGTGTCTCTTGATTTTGAACTGGACCACGGACCCGTCCTGTCCCGCCACCTTCAGGTTGATGTGGTCGTTGTTCTCTGTCTTCACCCCCTCCTGAGAACACATGTGCGAATATGAGATATTTTACATCACTCTTCCTTGCATGTTTTAGTGCATCTCTTTTGTAACTATTAAGTGTAATTATGCATAATATATCGGACAATTTACACAGAAAATACTGTAAGATTCGAGACAATGTCTCATCTATAATCTATAGTTTGAAAGGAACTGTTTGTAGTTTGATGATTAAAACAGAGTGAATGTGAAAGGGAAAAAGCAACAGCTGTCATGTGATTATTGTGGCGAGTATAGAAACTGGTTTCATCCTTTAAAAGGAACCCGGGTATTAAGACTTATGCCTTACTAGATTACCGTTGCCCCAAAGTATACAGATATAATATAAAATTCACAAAATATCTCTTAGGGTACGTACACACGACACCATTGTCACAACGATCCACATTCACACGGATCCGCGAAAACGACTAAAACGCTGTATTCTGCTGCCAGACCACTAGATGGCGATGAAACACTATAGACTGAACACGTAATACACACGTGCATAACGTCATCGTCTTCAGAGACTTGTGTTGTTGTTGTTTACACAGAGACCGATTTCAAAAACTTGCACTTTGAAACCCGTTTTCAGGCACTCAAAACGCTGTTGTCGTGTAAACGGACGGCCAAAATGCATAAAAAGTTGTACGTTTTTTAGTTGAAAACAGTGTTGTGTAAACAGCTGTTATATATTTTTTTTTTTAAGTTGACATTGCAATGCATTCTGGGTAGTAAGCTGTAAGTATCAAATGGTTGCACCGATCTCGGCTCCGTTATCTTGATCCCACTGTTACACAAAAATATAATCTGTTCGACCTTTTCAATTTGAGCCAGAGCACAAAATTAGCGAGGATGAAAAGTCGTTCAATATCGATTCAATCAAAATGAAGGTGATCGGAGGCGAGAGGTGAGGCAAAATGGATGGTGTATCTGTGGCTATTGCTCGCCGATGCTAACCGAGAGAGAGAGAGAGAGAGAGTTTCAATGTCTACCAGGGTGGCATCTAGCGTTTCTTGTCTCCTGCGACATATTTAAACGTTTTTTCCGTGAACATTTTTTTGTCATGCCTTAAAATAGCTTGAATGTAACTCTACATTAGTCCCGCCTCCATTCACTCACACAGCTCAGAGATCCACTGGATGACGATCACTACAAACTACAAGGTAGTTTGTGACGTCAGAAACACCAGCGATTTCAAGCCGTGTTTTTGAGACTGTCTTTGATTCACTGCAATTTTAAGGAGAAAATACTCAGCAATGCTGTCGACTTGTGAATTTATTTGCAGTTGATTTGTCATAAGCATATTAAAAACACCACATATAGGGCCTAAACAACATTCAAAACTTGATTTTCACCACAGGGGGACTTTAATACCCGGGGGTTACTTTTAACTATTTGAACTGCACACAATTTGATGTGGGTTTTTAATTAAACGAAAATGAATGTGATAAATTCTCTTTCATGTGTCACACTCAGTTCAGTTTACTTTATGTCTTTTACATTTGTAAATGTATTGCAGTAATACACAGACTCGTGCATGTTCATCTTTGTGGTGTTATTTGTGGCTTTATTGGCAGTGTTGTGTTTGAGTTGCTGTGCTTCACGTGATGGATGCTCACATTTGAACCACATCATCAGCTCAAACCAACAGAAAACTACTTTCCATCAGGTCTCAGACAGCAAATACTCGGCACACACATAGTACACATGTATTAGGAATATATGTCTGATATTAGATCATTTCTCCTCGTTATTTTAATTTGAATGCGCCTGTGTGTGTCGCGCGCGGTGCGAGCTCGCCACGCGCGTTCACACGTCTTCTTCCGGTGTCTCTGAGGCGGCAGTTACAGGATTTATCCACTAAGCGCGATATTTCACATTAAATATAAAACCATCTGTGTCCTCCCATGTTTTCACAATCCCTCGCACGACTTAAACTGTGACTAACAATAAATAATCCCTTCATTTTTAAACGCCACTCACCTTGGGTTTCTCGTCGGCCATGGTTTTTGTATTTGCGCTTCTCTACGCCGCCACACAAAGAATCCGCGGCGACGCGCACGTCCGCGCCCCCGATTAAAAACAGACCCTGCGTGCGCGGTCACGAGCAGCGCGTCCGTTCTCCGCGCTCTGTCGCGATAGGCCAGAGCAGGTCACATGCATCGTGTGATGCGCGACGATGATGTAATGCGCGAGACCAGGGAGCCGGGGAAACATGCACGCGCATTCGTGCACGTTATCTCGGAAAAAAAAAAACGTTGGAGCAAATATGAATATAAATGACACAAAACGATGATTATTTTATAGTAAATATCACATATAATCAGATACACGACAGGGAATCCATAATAAGGGCGTACATCGAGTATTGTGTTGTTTCTGAGGGAAAAATGATCCACTTCTCCTCTCACTGGAGTGGGAAGGGAAGCCATTTTGTTCTTTATGTAATTCACAGATCAAGCTCAACGTACCGCAGCCATTATTTATTAATAATTCAAAACGACTGTGAGAAAAAGGCCTACACTACAACAAACATAATTAAAACCTTTCTTGTGGTCATTTTATACCAGTAAATATATTAGGGCCATATAAAACAGTTTATTTTTACAAAGAAACATTACATGAGTAAAGAAATCAGGTCAAGCTTTAAAATCACAAAAAAATCCATAATTACACCATAGTTTAAAAGGAATACCATTAAAAGCAAGTGTTTACAAACCCTGGCCCTAATATAAAAGCAATATTTTAAGCTAGAACACTTTTTATAATAACATTGATTAAAACATGGATTTTTTTTTTGCACTATATATAGGGATGCACGATATATCGGCCATTGTATAGGTATCGGTTGATATATGTACATTTTTTATGTTATCGTTATCTACCCGATAAGAAAATTTGTCCTTTATATTAAAGCCGATAAATAATGGCTTATTTCCTTCGGCTGAGACATTTAAGATGCGCACTGTTCAACATGAGGGTTTTGAATTGCTTGAAATATGATTGGAATCACTTAAAAAAATAAAAATACAGTAAGGTGCAACATGTGCAGCGCAATTAAGTCTGTCATCGGCTACATAAAATTACAATGAGAAGATTGTGTGTTTGTGACATGGCTTTTAATGATGAGACTTTTGTTTTTGTAATCAGGCTGTCAAAAATTATGTACAAATTTGATTTAGATTTATTGGCGAATTACAGTTATTGGCTTTCAAATATAAGGAATCATCAGTTATCGGCCAAAATGTTCAAATATCGCATCCATATAATTCTTATCAGATGTGAATAGCTAGAATTGTCATCGGACCACTGAAAATCCTTTAGAGAACAACAACATGTGCGATTTGTAAATATATAAAAAAAAAAAAACGAAAGTCTTATTTTACTAATTTATTCTTCATCTTTATGAAAATATGACAACCATTTGTGATTGGTATTGCTATTAAACACTACTGATAATTCTCAAACAATGTTTCCTTATAATAACAACAACCATATAATTTGAAACCAATATAAACAGTGCATTATTTATATTTAATTGTCGATTAGTGTTTTACTCAGGCGTTCAGTGCGTCGTACTAACCGCGCAGGCTTCAGGGGTCCTTCAGGCTCATGGCGCTCGATTCTGAGCACTGAACGTATTGAATGTTGTCCAGATCATAAAGCTGTGTAAAGTCATATTTTTCACTGTTATTCAGGAGGATTTAATATTTCCGGATGATGGAGGAGGTGGACGTGGAGCCCAGTCCCACGGTACGTGCTGATTTATACAGTTTCTTCAGTGTATATGATGATTAATATATACGATACAAGTATATGTGAAGAATACACATGTGGTGTTGCCATAGTATCTGAAGGTAGTATTACTTAATTATCATATACCATGGTACTCCATAGTATTTCAATAAGTAGGTATATACTTATATACACTATGGAACTCCATTATCATAAGTAGGCTACCATGGTATATATGTATTGTATAAACTGATATAAACTGTTTTATTCTTATATATTACTGAATGGTCGTGCTGTTTGTTCATTTGTTTTTCTGGCAGTTGATTCCCGGCGCTGGATTTCATCAGAGACACTTGGGTTTTGAATGGGGTCCTGGAGATCTGTTAGTCTATGAGACAAACTACAAACTACAAGGTATTAATAATAACATCATCCACACTGGATTCTGGAAAGTGTGTGTGTGTGTGTGTGTGTGTGAGTGAAAGAGCCATCATAAACCCTGTCAAAGGTGTGTGTTCCCGCTCAGGTCCGAAGTCTGCGAGCTCTCCGTTCGTCCACATCGTGAGGAAAGATGAAGATATCTGCTCCCCCATCCTGCGTAAGCTCTTCAACGAGTCCCATCTCATCTTCGTGGGCCTGCAGAAAATCAAAGAGGACGTCCCGAGCAAAAACAAGAAGACGCAGTGAGTCCTCAGACCTGAAGCGAGTGTGTCCTCCTGGTGTGTGTTTGTGATGTGTCATTGTTTCCCGCAGGTTCGTGAGCATCAGTAAGAACTACAGGTCTGTGATCAGAGCCTGTATGGAGGAGCTTCAGCAGAACGCAGGTAAGCGGTCACGTGACGCACGCATCACGCATGAGGAGGATGATGATGCGTTTGATCAGCTGATCACGCTCTGTTTCTCTCCCCAGTTTCAGCACAAGAGGGGTCTTCAGCGTCCCAGTATGGAGATCAGGTACATGATGACGTTTTTCACACTAACTAATGAATAACTCACTAACTAATGACAATTATTGTAATGTTTAATTGTCTGATAAATGATGTGCGGAACCAGTATTTCGATGTTAGTTTCATTCTAAGTAAAACTATTTAAAAACATTTTCGTTCATTGAAATAAAGTGTAAATATTAGATGAGAAAAAATAGAAATGTTGCATTGGTATCTAACTGGAATTTACTATAATACTAAAATTACTAAAACTGAAATAAAAATTAATGGAAATATGAAAAAATGACAAACACATAAAATAAATGATTATTAAAACTATAAATTGAAACCTGAAAATCTAATCTTCTAATTGTATATGCTTTAAGTAATCATTAGATTACAAAACATATTCATAATACTATAATACTATATTAATATTACTAAAGTAACACTAATTTCTATTTATTTTATATGCATTATTTTGTAAAGATGAATTAATCATTAATTACAAAAATATTAATGCTATAATAGTATATTAATATTACTAAAGTAACACTATTTTTCTAATTATTGTATAGTATTTTCTATAAAGATAAATTAATTATTAGATTACAAAATATTAATAACACTACTATAATAGTATATGAATATTATTAAAATAACACTAATTTCTAATGATTTTAAATGGTTTGTTTTATAAAAATAAATTAATCATTAGATTACAAAAATATTAAATACTATAATAGTATATTTATATTACTAAAATAACACACATTTTCTAAATATTTCATAAACTGTATTTGATAAAAACATTAATCATTAGATTACGATTATAAATACATAATATGTATTCATTCTGCATATTTGTAAATTGATAATAATAAATTGATTAAAAATGAAATAAGTGTTTATACAAGTAAAAATGTCTGTGATTTTTCATCAGTGTTTCTGCTGACATATTATTATTGTTCTTTTGCTCATGTGACATTTATTATGATCTAATCAAACCCGGATGGATACAATCTTTCTGCCGACATAATAAATGTCAAATATAATATTAAATCAGAATTAAGATGCTGATGTAATCAAGCGCTGATGGGTCTTCCGAGGGAATAGTGTGTTTGACTGAAGTGAGTGCTGGTCTCTGCAGGTGTCGATCCTCCTGGCCATCGAGCTGATCTGGAACCTGTGTGAGGTGCTGTTCATCGATGCTTCTCCAGGTACTGGCGCCTGCGCTGTCAGAGGCTGAAAGGAAATGAAGAGCCACACACACCTGTATATTAAACTCTTTATATTTTAGGTAGACTCGGGTACATTACAACAGAATCCAACTCTATATTTCAAATGCGTAACAATCCATAGACAGGATTTTGATGCAAGAAAATCGCCCACATTTTAAAAAACAATTAATCAAAAAATTGGTTGTGATGAGTGTTGTTTTGTTGTTGTGTAGCCGGGTCTCTGCTGCTGATGATGAGTGTGTTGTGTTGTTGTGTAGCCGGGTCTCTGCTGCTGATGACGAGTGTGTTGTGTTGTTGTGTAGCCGGGTCTCTGCTGCTGATGACGAGTGTGTTGTGTGTTGTTGTGTAGCCGGGTCTCTGCTGCTGATGACGAGTGTGTTGTGTTGTTGTGTAGCCGGGTCTCTGCTGCTGATGACGAGTGTGTTGTGTGTTGTGTTGTTGTGTAGCCGGGTCTCTGCTGCTGATGACGAGTGTGTTGTGTTGTTGTGTAGCCGGGTCTCTGCTGCTGATGACGAGTGTGTTGTGTTGTTGTGTAGCCGGGTCTCTGCTGCTGATGATGAGTGTGTTGTGTTGTTGTGTAGCCGGGTCTCTGCTGCTGATGACGAGTGTGTTGTGTTGTTGTGTAGCCGGGTCTCTGCTGCTGATGACGAGTGTGTTGTGTTGTTGTGTAGCCGGGTCTCTGCTGCTGATGACGAGTGTGTTGTGTTGTGTTGTTGTGTAGCCGGGTCTCTGCTGCTGATGACGAGTGTGTTGTGTTGTTGTGTAGCCGGGTCTCTGCTGCTGATGACGAGTGTGTTGTGTTGTTGTGTAGCCGGGTCTCTGCTGCTGATGATGAGTGTGTTGTGTTGTGTTGTTGTGTAGCCGGGTCTCTGCTGCTGATGACGAGTGTGTTGTGTTGTTGTGTAGCCGGGTCTCTGCTGCTGATGACGAGTGTGTTGTGTTGTTGTGTAGCCGGGTCTCTGCTGCTGATGACGAGTGTGTTGTGTTGTTGTGTAGCCGGGTCTCTGCTGCTGATGACGAGTGTGTTGTGTTGTGTTGTTGTGTAGCCGGGTCTCTGCTGCTGATGACGAGTGTGTTGTGTTGTTGTGTAGCCGGGTCTCTGCTGCTGATGACGAGTGTGTTGTGTTGTGTGTTGTGTTGTGTAGCCGGGTCTCTGCTGCTGATGATGAGTGTGTTGTTGTGTTGTTGTGTAGCCGGGTCTCTGCTGCTGATGACGAGTATGTTGTGTTGTTGTGTAG